GACATCCTCGAGCCCCACTCTATAAACCTAACAGTACCTGATTCATTAGCAGACACCACAAACTCCTTCGCCTCAACTCTAAATCGCCGACTGAAAACCAGACCATTTGCATTCGACCCAGTTTTCCTTTGATTTTGCATAAACGGCTCATCTGATGACAACACAGGCCTGCTGGGTGGTCTAGGAACATTCTGCTGATTTTTTTGAATTTCCACGTTTTCCGGCGCCGGCGCGTGAGCCTGGGTGGTCTAGGAACATTCTGCTAATTTTTCTGAATTTCCACGTTTTCCGGCGCCGGAGCGTGGCCCTCACGCGCCGGCAGGTCCGCCTTCGGAACGGCGCGTGCAGCATCGGACAACACCACCTGCGTCGGAATGGCCTGCGTAGGACGCCGGTCAGGCGCGTCTGCGGGAAAAGAGGCCGGAAAAAGGGAAATCTGGGTTAGGATCCCAGATCGGTCTACTGCTTCTTGACGGCTACTGCCGTCGCCTGAACTTCCCGTCTCCACCCAGAATTTCTCGCCTGACGATCCTGCTCCTAATCGAGCGGCGGTGCTAGGGTTTCCACCTAGGGCCGCCGCCTGTGTAGGTGGGAGTTGGTCTGAACGGCCAGAGTTTTGTGGCGTAAAGCAGGTGGGGATGGGTTCGCCGGTCGGTACCTCGTTGCCGTCGCCGGTGCCGATCGGAATAGATGATTGGGTGGTGGGTAGTTGGTTGGGTTTGGATATTGAGGGAGCTGGTTCCATTGGAACCTGCATGAAGATGATGGCTGCTAAGGGGATTGGTAGTAGAGGAGAGGCGCTGGTGGCCTCTGGTTTCTGAAACTTTTCTTCTATTATGATGTTAATTCCAGGTAAGATCAAGATTCTACTAGATTGGAGGTGTCGAAATCTCAGTTAAGTCTGAAGTTAATAATCCAGTTCGATTGGAAATAGAGATTTTTTTACTTCTTGAAATTGGTCTGTGTACATAAACATAGATGTAATGCACATTGTAGGCAACATCAGCAACAGAAAATATATAATACAGAAACTAAGGGACTGTTCTCTTTGTTTTTGAGTTTTGTGTTTTGAGTTTT